GTGTGGAGGAGTGATTATTTGTAGATTAGGTGGATGCTCTTCTCTGCTGCATCACCGAGCGTCAGGAAGCGACAAAAACAAAAGTCAGGAAAGACGGCAGCCTGAAAGAGATGTGTCACAAAATATGGATCATTCTTGCTGTCAGATCCATCCGTCACCATTACGGCACCATCAGTTTGATAAATCCAATAACCAACGTGCTCCGTCTTCATCCGACCATCAGCAGGCAACACGTGCTGTCCTGTCCAGACCCTGTAAACCAGGTCCACTCAAAGAGCCCAGTGGTGACCAGGACAGACTGATGAATACACCGCGAGGCCTGACTTCACTGTAATTCTTTCTTTGGAAGAAAACACAAAGACAACGGCCAGCTGACAGATGATGTGCATCACGCTCTGAAAAGCCGGAGAAACAACCCGAACCAGCTCACCATTTTCACACTTCTGTGAATCTGTTTAAATTGGCTCGATGCATGACCAGAATATGAACTGAGAACACGCCTGATGGAAAGCGGTGGCACAGCGAGGCTTTGGTTTGCTGCTTTTTTTATTTCTATGGCTGAAAAAAAAAAAGATATTTGAATTTAAAATGCAGTCATTTTCTATAAATGTGAGCTTTTAGTGGCAGTAAAACATCCAAATGACAACTTCTGTGTTACTTTGGCAGTAACACTTTGGGGGAAATTGTCCAGATGTCTGTGGTTTACTTGATATTACAAACTTACATTTAAATATAATCATTACATCCACATGTGGTGGTACCTGTTAGTCTGCCCCCCGGAGGTGTGATGACAAGCTGCTTTGTTTTCATAAGGGAGTTTTGTAGGAAATGTTTTCTGACGGGGCTGCAGGTGTCTCAGTGGTTAGCACCGTGGCCTCACAGCTAGAAGGTCGCCGGTTGGCGTCCCGGTGAGGACACCCGGGATCTTCCTGCGTGGAGTCTCCATGTTCTCCCCGTGCAGCGTGGGTTCTCTCCGGGTTCTCCGGCTTCCTCCCACAGTCCAGAAACATGCTGAGGTTAATTGGTGATTGTAAATTGTCCGTAGGTGTGAATGTGAGTGTGCTTGGTTGTCTGTCTCTAAGTGTAGCCCTGTGATAGACTGGTTACCTGTCCAGGTGAACCTGCCTTCACCCTGAGTCAGCTGGGATAGACTCCGCCCCCCATGACCCTGGTGAGGGTTAAGGTGTAGAGATGATGGATGGATGTTTTCTTGACAGACTGAAACTAAGCAAAAAAAGTCATTTTAACGACATCATCCTGATCAATGGTACGACCGATGGCTTCACTCGTCTGTGTTTCGACTCACGTTAAATCCGACTTCACCGCCTCAGAACTCTGAGTTACGGAGGTTGCGGTCCGCGGCGTTTTAGATGATGAGCCTAAACTACAACATAATGTGCTCAGAAGTGGAAACGTAATATTCCAACAGCTCTGTTTACTGCCCGTCATTCACATTCAACACCTGCTGGTCTACCTGCAGCACCTTGCTGCGAGGCGATCAGCGACTTATTCAACCTTTACTTTGCCAACAATCTTTTCCTTGGACAAGATGAAGAGGGGGAAAAAAAATAGGCGAAACTAAAAATAAACCTCACTAAATCGATGTAATCAGTGATTCGCTTGGCTGAGCAGCCGGTTAAAAAGCTCTCTTTCATCGCCTGGCGCCGCTGATTCGGTGTGCTCGATTGACCATATATAAGGGCAGGCCGGCGTCAAAGGTGCTGAACGCAGCGCAGAAACTCTGGGAAATGGTCGGGCACAGATGCTAAATGACGGCCCGGTGACACCTGACAGCTGGCTCGGCGTGTCGGGGCCTTAAACCGTCTGTCCCCGCTGAAGAAAAGGCAGCTTCTGTTTGAGCAGTTCAAGAAGTGTTTGCTTACAGATTTGTTTTGCTGCAGCTCATATGCTGTTCAGATGCTCGTCTCTTCTCCCTCCAGCGCGGCACATTATAGCTCCATTAGGAGGGAACGCAAGGTGGGTAAGAAAAGGACACAAGAGAGGGAAAGGTTAACAAGAAGAAGTGTGGCAGGAAAGAGGAAAACAAGGCAGAAGGCAAGAAGTCAGAGGCTAAAAGTGAAAAATGAATCGGAGATGGGAAGGAGTGGGCGAGCAGCGTTTCTGGGTTAAGATCTGATCATTAAAGCAGGAAGAGAGGACGCAAAGAAAAAAACATCTGGTAGACCTGGATGGAATTAAAAAGGCGGAAGACGAGAGACGGGAGGTGTCAGAGTGTAAAGGTAGAGATGGAGGTAGAGACGGAGGTAGGAAGAAGGGGGCTTGAATGATTAAGGAGCTAAAGGCACAGTTCTGTTACAGTGTCACGGTGGTCAGCAGTAATGGCTGGTAATGATAAGTTAGAGGCAGCTTTATAGACGGAGAGCCAGGAGGGCACTCAGCAGAGCCACGGGGTGGTCGGCCTGACGGATGCGACACACACATAAAAGTCAACAAAACCAAAGTGTAATGAGGAGCTGCAGAGCTGCCCGGTGAGAGTTCTGTTTCGGGAGCAAAGTGGAAAAGGTGAGGAAGTCTTTAGGCTGAGTTCTGGGACCGTTTACCACCACCAGGGCTCCAAACTCTCCATCTGTTGGCTTTGTTATTGTTCATGTTAAAGCATCAGTTCATCCAAACTACAGAAAATCCTCCTCGTGGCAGCTACCTGTGCAGGTGTTTCATCAGACAAATGGATGCTGCCACCTAAATGTAATATGAGGAGTATTGTTCAGAACTTCAAAAACGACACTGAAAACACTCCAGGAACTGATTTTTCCTGATTTATTAAATATAATTCAGTGTTTAATTAATAATTCCAACCATGATAGTTCAGATAAACACGGAGAAACTCTGACATCGAGTCCTGAAACCGTCGGCTGGTTAATCTGAGAGTGTTCGTCGCTGTAGGAGTAAGAGGGGAAAGCATTTGTTGGAATTTGAGTGATTTGACCCTTTAAGCAGAGGTGGTGTGAATCGTAAAGTGGTGCCCTGAAGATTAGAATGTCACCTTTTTTTTTTTTTTGAAGCTTGACTTTATAGATTGACACGGTGAGGCACGTTTAAGAGCACCATCAGACGGGCCTACAGTCTGTGATTAGCTCTTTAAAGATAGACTAATTAGTGCGTGCTATCTTTCCTTTTTTTTTTCCTGCAGCGCCTCACATTATCAACACGGGTGGTCCTGACCCTGCAATGCAATGTTGTGGCTCGGTGCAGCGAGCCCACCGAGGACCCTCCTCATGCCGCACGGCGCTCTTTAAAGTGATCAAAGCGCACGGCGGATGTAACTGAATGTCCTTCTAATGAAGTCATTCCACCTCCATCAGATGGTCTGCTCTCCATAAATAAGAGTCCTTTATTCTACACTTGACATACTTTAAAGGGAATCTGCCACATCAAGGCTGCAGGAGGCCATTTGGTAGGAAGAAAGCGTTTCGATCAAACCTCGTCTTCTGTTGCTCGTTTTGGAGCTTTCTGCTTTGCAGCTGGATTATGTTAAACAACCGTTTGATGACTCAGTTTAAAGAATTAGCTCGTGCAAAGTATCATGTTCCATTTACATTGTAATCTAACGGCATTAATGCGGTTGAGCTGCAGAGTGGGAGGACGTCCAGTCGCAACAATGGCAAAGCGCAGACGCACCGGATCCATTTGGCTCTGGGCAAAATGAGAGAAGGTCATCTGTTCAGTTCCCTGCTGGGCTACCAATAATGACTGTGTGTGTGTGTCTGTGTGTGTGTGTGTGTGTGTGTGTGTGTCTGTGTGTCTGTGTGTCTCTGTGTGTGTGTGTGTGTGTGTGTGTTAAGCTGTGTAAAGCTCAGAGCAGGCTGCTGGATCTGTGTGATCTAACCAGTAAGAGGCTTAATGTCTGCACTGGGACTGACTGGGCTGAAGTCTGGGAGAGATAGGGAGTCAGTCACACGCACACAGATACGTTTGTGTGTCTTCACTCGTTAGCGTAACACACTTAATGCCAACCTTGACCTTAAACCTGAGTCTAACTTTAACTCAAGGACAGAGTCTGAACCCTCCAGTTTCTAAGACGTCGGTTTGGTGGAAACATCGTCTCCTTCCAGAAGCATCATCACTCTGAAGGACTAAAAGTAAAACTGCTGAGCAGCACAACATCAGGACGGCGTGTGCGTTAAACACGTTACGTCTAATCGCGCTCAACAATGCTTGGATTCATTCACAAATTGTGCAGAACGTGAATAATTATAAGGAGGAAAACAAAAGAGGCTAAAACAGCGAGGAATGGAAAAAAAAACAGACAGATGGAGAACAAGACAGAGAAAAGAGAGAAGACAATGACAGAAGGTTGTGTACAGCGGCTACAGCTCGGATTGATTAATATGGGCTATTAAGCTATAACACCAGATCATAGTCTGGTCCCTCTGGCCGTATTACGGTGACATGATGAAGCGCCTGTATTAGCCATGGGAGAGTGCTAGTGATGCAGATAATAGCCACGTCCCAGGAGAGCTGCAGAGGGAATTAATGCTGCTGTCTGACACACACACAGGCATGGATGCAGATGCACACACACACACACACACACACACACGCATGCTTGAACACTGACAGAGTCATTTACATATATGCACACACAGGCAGGATCCACACACGTTTTAGAGGTATGGCCGTGCAGCACACACACACATGAACACACAAGTGCATGTTACTCTTATTTCTGACGGGAGCTGAACTCCTCATTTACTGTAAATGTATATACACCCTATAATGCTATCGCCGTCGTTTCTGTCTGCAGTGGGAGGAAATGAGGTGGAAGGGATGAGGATTATTCTGTTATCTATACGTAGACACACACACACACACTCACACATATACGGCTTTATAATTTCCTCTCCACTGTGAAGCCTTTGGAAAAGACATCGCTGCAGCACATTCTTACACATCTTCATGGTCCTCTGTGTGAGCATCAGCAGACATGCAGACGCTTTGGACACTGAAACCAAAAGTAGACTTTGACTGAAAAATATAGCCGTGCTTCTCTAACTCTTCCACAAAGGAGTCGTATGCACTCGTAAGTTAATGACAGACACCAAAGCCGTGATTCCAACATGAATCTGGCCAAACATTGGTGGACAGTTTTTTATTCTTGGTTCCAGTGACACCACTGTGGACAGAGGTGGAAAGTAAGTCCATTTACACGAGTGCCGTCCATTTTAATCTGCTTGATTCTGCTACTTACTAAAATACAGAAGGATATAGTGCCATGTATACACAACTAGACATCGTAGGTACATTTCAGAGTATAATTTTCCAATAATAAAACTTATAATAAACTACTAAATTGAGGCTAAACTTGACCCTTTATAAAAAAAACTCTACCTGGTTGGGGCCCACTGACAGATTTCTGAAGAGACAGTTTGAGACGGATGCAATAAAAATCCAAACTATGGATGCTGATTTGTATTGTTTCTGTCTTCCTACTATTAATCGTGACCCTCTAGAGGGACTGGTACCGGACTAAACTAGCTAACTATACACCGAGTTGTTGAAACTAGCTCCACCTGGAAGAGCTAAAACAGGAAAACGTTACTGACACTTTGATTCATGAGTTGAAGCCATTTTCTTGCTTTACTTGTGATTCCTTGAGCACAGGTCTGTCATTCAGCGTGCCTATACCTGGTAATGCGCTTCTACTTTAGGTTAACTAGAGGAACTCAGTCCTTGTTTCCCCTCGTTTTCCATCTGGGTCCATTAACCTCCTTCTTTCCTCTGCCCCAGTGGGAGGAGATCGGCGAGGTCGACGAGGACTACGCGCCCATCCACACCTACCAAGTGTGCCGCGTGATGGAGCAGAACCAGAACAACTGGCTCCACACCAACTGGATCCTGACCGAGGGCGCCCAGCGGGTCTTCATCGAGCTCAAGTTCACCCTGAGAGACTGCAACAGCCTGCCCGGCGGGGTGGGGACCTGCAAGGAGACGTTTAACATGTACTACTATGAGACGGACGGGGACGAGGACGAGCTGGAGGACGGGGAGATGCGAGACGGCGTCGGGATCACGGAAGAGGAGGACAGGGCGATGAAGGAGAGCAGATACATCAAAATCGACACCATAGCGGCCGACGAGAGCTTCACCGAGCTGGACCTGGGGGACCGCGTCATGAAGCTCAACACCGAAGTCCGCGATTTAGGTCCTCTGACCAGGAAAGGCTTCTACTTGGCGTTCCAGGATTTAGGGGCCTGCATCGCTCTGGTGTCAGTGCGGGTTTTCTACAAACGCTGCCCGTTCTTGGTGAAGAGTTTGGCCGAGTTCCCCGACACCATCCCGGGCTCGGAGGCCTCGCAGCTGGTGGAGGTGGTGGGCCACTGCGTCAACAACTCCCTGCCTTTGTACGAGCCTCCCAGGATGCACTGCAGCACTGAGGGCGAGTGGCTGGTGCCCATTGGGAAGTGTGTTTGCCAGCCGGGGTTTGAGGAAATCAACAGATCTTGTCAAGGTGAGTGGAGGAGGTTTGTTGTGATGATGATGATGATGATGATGATGATGATGATGATGATGATGGTGATGATGATGATGGTGAGTCAGAGTCACGTGATGCAGAAGTTCCAGCTTCTCAAAGAGTTTTTTCGGGTTGTGAGTTCACGTGTGTTTCCTGTGGTTGCTATCTCCATCCTGTGTGTGTGTTCATGTTTATTTTCGGTGTGGTGCTGCAGTGTGTGTGTGGATCTGTTTATTCTCCACTAAGAGCGTTTCTCGTGTGCGACTCTGAGTTTCTTCTGAGCTTAGTGGAGGGTATTCCCTCGAGCCCCCGCAGCACTTTGCTGCTCTCATAAAGCCGCCGCTCGGCTCCGACTCGCGCCCAAACATCTCCGCCGCCGCCGACCTTAACTGCCATTTCCACGGGCACCCAGGGCCTCGGTGTTTTTCTCTCCTTCCATCCTCTCCAATCTTCCTCTGCGCTGTCTTTAAATTACTCCATTTTCCAACTTGCACACCAGACTCTACTTATGCACCCGGAGCAGCTGTGAGAAAATTCAGTCAGAATTCAAGAGAAGCTCAGAGCACAGGCATGAACCTGTGTGGTGACACGAGGTGGATCTTCAGTGTTTTATTATCTTCACATTATGTCCTGCTGATCAGAAGTCAGTCTCAAGTGATGAACTGTGTAAACGGAGATCTTCAGTTTGAATGGCCAGCTTGAGCTGAACAGAAGAAGATGTCCTTGATTATGGAGCTTTTCTGATTTTCATATCTTACATGTTGAATATCATCAGTTTAGTTCTGTTGACTTCATCCCTAGAACTGTAAATGTTCCTCTGTCAGAACCAGAACCTGTCCAAGCTGTGATCAATGGTAAAACCTCGCTGCTGTTGTAAAGCGTGATTCGTCTCTTCAGCAGCTTTACTTCATCAGACGCCGGATCTCTGTGGGGATGTCATTAGGAAATCGCTGTCAGTGGGCCACTGGCCTGCCTGCAGTCATCCAGCTCCAGACTGTACAGTCAGCCAGACTGCTGTTACACATTCACGGCTGATGAGGCTAAAAAAAATCATGTTCTAGTTTCCAGCAGTCATCATAATAATACGGCGGTAACGATGAAACGAAGGGCTCGTTTCACTGTGTTTGTATCAGTGGTGCATGGTGCGGTTGGCCAAAGGAAAGGCTTTTGTACACGAGCGCAGCACGCCATGAATACTCAGAGAGGAACGTACGTGCTAAAGATTAAAGAACTCACGAACAGTGCTGTGATTACCACTCATTAGCCTGCCACCTAATTATGCACAGCTAATTACGCTTTACAGACTTCTGCCATTTAACTAATTTGGTTTGACCAGTTGGGTCAGCTGAGAGAGTATTCAAAGTTTCAGCAGAGGTGCAGTAATTCATTAAAACCAGAGCCGTCGTGTTCCTGTTGGTGCCGTGTCAGCACTTTGCATGGATGGAGGTGGGACGTTCTGAGCCTGGACTGCAGGACTTGTAGTTTTGCACATTATTGGAAATGTTTGATGCTTCTTAGCTCATTGGTCGTGATTATGCTAATGCTAACTAATACATGCTGCAGGGTCACATCTTTAAACTTTGGAGAGAGTTTTTGTACATGCAGGTGAAGATATATTTCTTTCCTTCAGGATGATGACTCTTATGATATTTCATCCAGCGCCAGAATCATTTTCAGCCGTACTTTCTGTATAGAGCAAATATGAGCTCGCTAACATGCTAATACAAGAGGAAAATATTTTGTGTTCCCTTCATAGTCTGCACACTGTGCACGTGTCATCATCTGATCAGATTAATTAAATTTATTTATAAGCACATTGACCAATCAATGAAAGAAGAAGTAACCGATATGAAAAAGAGAATAGTGTGAAATGTTAAAATGAGGGAGGAAAAAAATAACCGAACGAGCTACAAGATCAAAGTTTAACATAAAAAATATGAATCATTGCGACCTACAACAGCCAACAACAACATGTACTTCTGGAGATTTTTCCTAAAAATGCTGTTTCATTACAAATAGAACCAGAAGCAACATGGAAGAGAAAATATTTGTCCACGTTTTAAAGTGAGCAGACGCAATCAGTGCATTAAAATATTCTATAAATACAGTTGATTTAAAACATTTGGATAATTTACAGACTCGGTCAGTCAGACTTGCTGAGCACGTGACAGAGATGTGGTTTTCAACTGTTTGTGTTTCATCACACATGAATAAAGAGTTATTTTCTAACTGAATACAGAAGAAAAGACTAAATCCCGTTATTCTGGGTGGTGTTTTGATGACACTGTAATACATCCCGACCTTGCAGGAAGCTGACCCTCAGTGACCCTCTGTGACCCTCGGTGACCTTCGGTGACCCTTGGTGACCCGTCTCCTCCACCTCTGCGTGGCAGGACAACGTTTGAGGGTCTACCTGATGTTCATTTTAATGAGGTTCAGGATGTTTGGAGTTCCAGGACGATGAAGTCGTGTGAAATGCAAATTTTTTATTGAAAGGAAAACATCTCAGGGGCGCTCACAACAATATCGTTTATGTGTTGTTGTTTTTGTCTCTGAAAATAAAGCGAGTAGGACAAACTCCTCACAATTAATGAAGCTGGATTTTTTTCCTCCTTCTTCTTCTTCAGTTTCATATGCAGATGAGCTGTTTAACTGACAGCCTTTGAAAGCGTCTACAGAGGGAGACGTGCAGGGTTTCCTCGCTGCCAGCTTTGGAGCCATATGTGTTGGGTGTCTCGGTAAACACCTTTTCATGTGCGTTTCAGTCGCTCACGTTGGAGTGCTGCACGCTGAATTTCCTGTTTGAGGAGCGTGTGGACTGTGTGCTATCAGGAGCGTCCTCTTTAGGGGGAAGTCGGAGCCGTGAACCGGTCCTGAGCTGGATATTCAGAACCTTCCCTGAGTGCAGCGACTTCATTTTCCCCATCTGTGTGAATGTCAGGGTGGTTCTGAAACTGATGGAGGTGTTGAAGAAGAGATGCTAAATTTTATTTGTTAGACTGTGAATCAGTGGATTGAAGGTCAGAGTACGGTGTGTGTGTGATGTGTGTAGAAGTGTGTAGAAGTGTGTGTATCGGGGCTGTGTGTGGTGTGTGTGCTGCCTAGTAGAGCATGATTTAATGCAGCCTTTGTGAATGTAGGACAGAACTCATTACGGACAGCTCTTTCTCCCCCGTTTTTTTTCTTCTTCTTCTCTCTGTTTGATTTATCTCATTCTCACTTTTTTTTTTTTCCCATTTCACTCTTCCTCTACACCTTAGCTGTCCATTACCCATCCTTCTAGCTCTCCTGTTTGTTCCCCTCTTCCCTTTGTCTGTCTCCTTTTATTGTTTCTCCATCCTCCCTCTTTCTCGCTCTTCTTTCTCCACCGCTGCCGTCTACTTTAGCACTCTGCTGCCTTTTACTCTTGCCGAGGCCTCTCACTCCACTTCCCTTCCTTTACCCCATTTTAAAGATCTGTCCGTCTTTCTCCATCAACGCGCCGACACGTCGCTCAGCTGTCGTCTTCACCCTCACGCTCCTTCTCTCAGAAGTACGTCTCTATTTATGGAAAACATTCAGCCATGAAGCACCAGAATAATGTGAGCCGGTTCCATGTGGGGGGGATGGAGGCTCTGCGTAGGGATCTGCTCGTCCTGGACCAGTTTGGTTTGAAGTTTGCTCCGTTCAGTACGTGCTGTGAGTCAAACAGCTCTCGTCGATCTGTTTATATCTGCATAAAAAACTTCTTCAGCTCCAGCTGCAGCCAAAACACTGCGGCTCTGCACCGGTTGTTTTCCAGCAGCTTGCAGGAAAAACCTTGAAAGCCACAAAGACTCGTCCCAATTTTATAAAACATGTATGGTGTTTTAACCTCGTGGTGAGTTTGGGCTTCACTTGATCCTCGCTGCACAATCTGCTGACAGATCGACGGACCGACCGGCCACCATGTGGAGCCGAAGTTAAACATAAAAGTCGAGCTCTTGTTTGCTTTTGTTCGGTCACCGTTTCACTAAAGATGTGTTGGACGCCGTGTCCATCGTGTTGACATGAGCTCATGATGGATGTGCTGCTCCTGTCTGAACCCTGTCCAGGACTTCATGTTGTCAGACGTAGAAGGTCTTTCAGGTCCACTGGACCCCAAGAAAGAACACATGGTGGTGTTCATTACAGACCTTATAATGATGTTAAATACATGTTCTGATAAGTTGATGTATTTTTGGTTCCAAATCTTTATAAATAAAAAAACAGTACCTGTCACTTAGACCAAATGGATCCAACCGACCCCAAAGGTCCTGAACAAGGTTAATAGGTCCACTTTAACATTTACTTTATACTTGGGAGCAAACATTATTTTCTTTTTAGCAGTATGCAAGTTTTCAGCAAGAAATGTGGCCAATTAGCACCTATAAATATATATATATTTCAGTTGTTGTTTTTTTTTTTTTTAAATAAATCTTATCTTAAATCTTAAATAAATCAGGGTCAGATTTAGTATCATGAGCCTACTGGTACAGGAAAACATGGATTTATCTTTAATAGTTCTGTTATTGTCCATCTTCTGTGGTTCATTTATTTATTGTTGGAAATGAACCCATCTCACAGCGCAGTTCGCAGCTTTAAAATAATTATCCATCTTAGTATTTAAAAAAAAGAAAAATTAGCTTTGGCATAAAAAGGTTAAATTTAGACGTGTGGTGATGATTGATATTATTCTTGTTATACTGGAGCTAATTTAGTGTCACATGACATCTAAAGCTATCAGATGTGATTGTGTGAGATGTATGGACGTACGTGGAGCTTCCCAGTCTGGATAATTGGTGCTCGCCTGCAGCACTGTCAGCCCCAGTAAGACCGAAGGGGGGAGGAGGAGGGATGGATGGATGGATGGATGGATGGATGGATGGATGGATGGATGGAGGGATGGATGGATGGATGGATGGATGGATGGAGGGATGGATGGATGGATGGATGGATAGACAGAATGATCGGAGGAGCACAGAGAGCAGAAGTGAAGG